TATTCATAAACACTATATATTAAAAAAACATTATTCACACCTTTTTTAAAAATTAATGTATGTTTATTTTATATATCTTACCTCTCAAAAAAGAAAGTAAGAAAGAAAAACTGCAAGGAAAACAAGAAAAAAGAATGTCAAATTCACTGTATTTCCAACATTAAGAAAATAATTTATACTAAAATGAATGAATTTTAAGGACATTTTATAATTTAAAGCATACAAGTAACATTAAACATGCATTATTTTATAATTAGAATACGGGGACACAGGACAACTCCACTGAGGATGAAATAAGATATCGAAGCTGTTTCTAGTGAACTGGGCAATGGGGGGGTTAAAAGTTGCACTTCTTGGATGAAACGACCAGAACTCTATTGCTCTCGGCCAGTTAGGATCTAGTAAAACCAATTCAATATTTCTCATTACCATAAAATGTGTTAAAGAGAGAATAACATGAAGTTTTTTCAGAAATACTTTAAAAAAAAGTACAAAAATTGAATCACAAAAGAAAAAATTCGCTATGTAGAAAATGCACTTTGCTATAGAGAGGTTATTTTACGAAAAAAATCGTGAAATGTTCAAGGTTCCAGGAAAAAGTTCGTCATACAGAAAAATTCGCAATAGAGAAGTTCGTTATATAGAGGTTCGACTGTATATCATATTCTGACCTTAACCATTAGAAATCTGCATACTTCCTTGACTCCTCATTTTTAGTTGCCTCAACATGTTTTTGAATTCCTACTATATTAGCTCACATTCTTCCAATCAATCGTTAATAAAATACTTTCTATTCATCCATTCAAGTTCAAATACATTTTTTTAAACTTGTAGTGGATGACACTTGATGTTGATACAGTTTATTCAATTTTTAATTCATTAATGAAATTGAAAAATGAATAAATAGTAACAAACAAAAATAATAGTCCAACAGCATATATACAAAGGAAACCCGTTCGTTGTATTCCTGTAGCGCAATGAATAGCGCGTTGGTCTTCTGATCCAAAGGTTGTGGATTCAAATCCCACCTGGGCTGGACTAATTTCAGATAATGTGATTTTTTTATTATACTATTTTTTATATTAGAAAAATTAAATTTTTTAATGAATAAATAGTAAAAACAATCAAAAATTGTCCAAAAACAAGGAAAATCGCTTTTTATTTTCTTAGGTAATAGCGTGATTCTGTCATATGTAAATACATATTTATATTAATTATAACTATTTAATGTGAAAGGAACCAAAATAAAAATTTTCTTTGTTGACCTATTTAGAAATTGACTTAATTTTTTTTATATTACTTTTTCAGTTATTGTTCAAATAAACTATTTTGTGTGAGTCCAAAAGAATATCTCCAAATAAAGTAATATCATGATCATAGTTTGATTTTGACTAGTAAAAAGCTGCATACTTTCCTAACCTCCTCATTTTTAGTTGCCTTATAGACCATTTTTTCCTGTAATAATTCATTTCTCTTTTCCTCTCCTCCCACCTCTTCGGTATATTTTAAGGATTTCAAATTTTCAAGGACAGATGACAATCGAACTTAAATTTCTACATTTTTTCTACCTGAAAACAGTGCTACGATTGTCGATTTTATTCTTTAATATCAGACCCAAAAGAAAGAAAGACAAAAACAGTTTTGGGGACTTAACGAACAAAAGTCAAAAATTTACCTCACAACTCTTTGATTTTCAAAAAAACCCAAAA